CACCTTTGACGAGTCCGTCTCCTTCTACCGCAGCTTTCCCCACCGAGGTCCCCCGGTCACTCCCCCCCTATTCATGGTCACCCCTTCCCCAGTGGTCCCTGCCCCTCCCCCTCCCCCTCCCCCTCCCCGTCCTGCCCCCTCGGGTGTGTCCCACGTCACCCCGCTTACGTCGGTTGTCCCGGTCGAGGAGTCTGCAGACTCTGGTTGTCCTGCGGTGCAGTCCTCGCCGCTTGCCCCACCTCAGGTGTCTCCTCCTCCGCCTCCTCCGCAGCCGCCGTCGCCACCGCTGTCGCCGCCGCCGTCACCGCCGCTGCCACCGCCGCTGCCGCCGCTGCAGTTCGTTGACTCTGGGGGTTGCTGGAGTTGGGGTGGGTACTAGTCTGGGGAATCCTGTCGTGGCTTTTCCCGGTGGGCCTGGGGGAGGTACCGGTGCTCAAGAGGTTCTGACCTCTGGGGGTGTTCCTTCTGGGGGTGCTGGAGTGGAGTGTTCCGGAGGTAGCCGTGGAGCAGCTTGCGGTCCCGGTGTTGGTGTCGTGCCGCCGCAGCAGCAGTCCCCGCCGGTGTCAGCTCTTCGCCTGCTCGGCCTACCGTCCCCTGACCCCGCGTCTGTGCCTCTTCCACTTCCTGTCTACGGCCCTGTGTTCCCTCCCCCAGACTCGTCGCCGGCTCGTCTCCCCCCTCGTTCCCCTCTTGTGTCCCCTCCTCTGTCCCCCAACCCGACGCCTCCATCTCTCGTCTGGTCCCGCCGTCCCTCCCGTGCTCGCCCTGTCTCCCCTGTCCCGCGCTCTCACAGTATGTTGCTGTTCCCACGCGTCTCGTCCTACCCTCCTCCCGTCGCCTCCTCCGTCCTCCCTTGTCGTTGCGCCTCCCCCTCTGTTTGACTACCTTCGTGCCACTCCGTCCTCTTGTTCCTTGGGTCCTTGCCTCTCTCGTTACCGACCCGTCTGTTCCGGTTTCATGTCTTGACGCTCTTGTCGTTGCGGTTACTGACTTTGCCTCTACCCGCCGCCTTGACTACGCCACTGCTCTGGTCTCTGACCCTGCCTGTCCTCCGTCCGTCCGGGGTGCTTCTGCCCTCGGCAGTGACGTCCTGGAGGACCGCCAGTACGAGCTTGCTTTCCTGTCCGAGGCTGCTCCCCATCTCTGTTCCATGCTGCTAGTCCCTGAGGGTGACCCAGACGCTTTTGACATCCCGACCCCTCGCACTTACGCTGAGGCGGTCTCGGGACCCTGGGCCTCTCAATGGATAGCTGCCATGGAGGAGAAGATGGCTTCTTGGAGATCCATTGGCACCTACGTCGACGCAGTTCCCCCGCCTGGGGTGAACGTAGTCGATGGCCGCTGGCTCTTCAAGATGAAGCGCCCACCTGGAGAGCCGCCTATGTTTAATGCGCGCTACGTGGCTAGAGGTTTCAGTCAGCGTGAGGGGGTGGACTTCTTTCACACCTTCGCTCCGACCCCAAAGATGACTACTCTTCGGGTGCTTCTACACGTAGCAGCTTAGCGTGACTACGAGCTTCACTCCCTCGACTTCTCTACCGCGTTTCTTCAGAGCAGTCTACACGAGCAGGTCTACCTGCGCCGCCCTCAGGGTTTCACTGGTGCCTTCCCTCCTGGCGCCCAGTGGCTCCTGTGGCGCCCCGTCTACGGCCTGCGACAGGCCCCTCGTGAGTGGCACGACACGCTGCGTGCTACCGTTGCAGACCTGCAGTTCTTTCCGTCCTTTGCAGACCCCTCGCTCTTCGTTCGTGCTGGCCCGACTCCGTTCTACATCCTTGTTTACGTAGACGACCTGGTCTTCGCCACTGCAGACAGGGACACACTGGCCTCGGTGAAGGCAGAGCTGCTGAAGAGACACACTTGCACTGACCTTGGAGAACTGCGCCATTACCTTGGCTTGCAGATCTCCAGGGACTGAGCAGCGCGCACCATCACCCTCACTCAGTCACACTTGGTGCGCTAGGTCCTTCAGAGGTTCGGCCTTCAGTTCTCCTCTACACAGCCCACCTCTCTGTCTGTAGACAACAGACTCTCTGCTCCAGTTTCTGAGTAGTCGGTAGAGCCCAGTGGCCCTTACGCCGTGCTGGTGGGTTGCCTCATGTACCTGATGACTTGCACTCGTCTAGATCTCGCATACCCTCTCAGCATCATGGCTCGCTTTGTGGCCACAGGCAAACACCGACCTCAGCACTGGTCTGCCGCTAAGAGGGTTTTGGGTTATCTTGCGAGTACATCGGGCATGGGGTTGGTGCTTGGAGGGCGCATGCCAGCGGTCCTTACTGGGCACACAGACGCTTGGTGGGCAGACGACGCCAAGACTCTTAGGTCCTCACAGGGCTACTGCTTTAGCCTTGGTTCAGGTGCTGTCTCGTGGAGAGCTACTCGCTCCTCGTCTGTTGCCCGGTCCAGCTGTGAGGCCGAGATCTAGGCCGGTTCCATGGCGGCACAAGAGCTCCGCTGGCTGACCTTCTTGCTGACTGACTTAGGTGAGCGGCCTAGCTCTGTTCCGGTCCTGTACACTGACAACAGGGCCATGATCCTCCTGTGTCAGGAGCCTCGACTCGAGGGCAGAGCGAAGCACATTCAGCTGCAGTACTTCCTCCTGCGTGAGCTACTACAGCGCTGCCAGGCTCGCGTAGTACACTTGGCCTCCGGTGCCAACACAGCTGATATCTTTACGAAGGCGCTTGCGCCTAAAGATCATCAGCGGCACTGTGTACAGCTTGGCCTTGGTCCTGTAGCCTCTCATTTGCTAGAGCCTTGATTGTGTGCAGACCTTTCTATATATTACCCAGACTGGCCTTGTGGCCTCTCATAGTGGCTGGACTAGTAGTGCCGCTCTGGTCTTGCTCTTGCCTTGTATGTAGTCCTTTTGACTGGTCTTTAGACCCTTGCCTCAGAGGCTGGACTAGTAGTGCCGCCCTGAGCTGCTTATTCGCTTGTTAGGCACTGCCCCTATATAGTCTAGGGGGTGTGTCAAATGTAACTTAGGTGTTACTGTAGACTATACTGGCTTGTGCCTTAGAGGGTACAATACGCTAGTCTATATATCTTTGTATCCTTCTATTCTAGTCAATTACTAATTCGGACAGGGGAATGTCTGTACTACAGGACTTAGCCGCTATTTGTCGATTTTTGTGGGGTGTATGGGGGGAATATCTGTACAATTAGGACTTGGCAATTTTTCTAGGTTTCTGTGTGTGTGGGGGTAATGTTTCTAGAGATTGGGGACTTCGCCGAAATTTCAGGGCTGTGAGGCACATGGATGTCGCACTCAGGGTTCGTTCGCGTTGCTCCCTGAAAACTCAGTATTGGCACAACGCAATCCTGAAATCCCAAGTGTTCAGAAACGTACAACCCTGAAGGGGCTAGGGTTAAGAATTTGTTAACACTGAAATTTAAGGGTTGGCCGAAAAATACCCGGTGAAATCAGGGAATCAGGGTAAAATACCCCGATAACGACAGGCCTGATAGTAATGTGCCATTTGCACTTTGAGTATATTTGCTATAAGGATGTTGCACGTTAGTGTTTGGTTGCACCTTCGGTTTCTCCGACCAGTCTGCGCCAACCAACCTGACATGGCAGGGGCCATGTCATCAATCTCCGACCACCTCATATCGCTGCTGCCGAACCAAAGCCTCCACACACTCGCTTCGCAGTACCTTCTGGCGCCTTCAAAATCCGTCAGGCTTCTGTCTGCGCGCGTTCACTACCTTCTCGCGCACTCCGATCCGATCCCCCACAAGGAGACCTCCAGACACCACCGCGGTTTGTCGAGGCGCAAATTGTCCGCTCACCCCGCGATCAGGTCTCAGGGCGGGTCCAAACATTCCATGTTGCTTTTAGAACGCTTTGAAGCGCACAGAAAGGCACTGCACCGCAATCAGACTTCCTATTTGGACCCGCCCTCACAGACATTCTGTTCAGTGTTTTCACTTCGTTGCCCTGATCCTGGGCACTCCCAGACTGCCCCCCCCTCTCCCCAATCCAGCTGTCCCATGCACTAAGGGCGTGTCACCAAAAATGGTTTTGGCAAAATACCATATCTAACCTCTCTAAAAGTTTATTTGACCGTTTTAGAACGCAAGACATCTTTGCAAACCGCAATCGGACGTAGTTTTGTGACCCGCCTGAAGGGCGTGTGGCAAGTAGAAGTCCAAACAATCGGACGAGACCGGAGGTCAGGTACGACGCGGTACTGTATGACTTTGTTTGTTTCAAAACAATTTTTGAGAGGTACAGTACTAAGGTAAACGAGTGGACGATGGGAGCGGAGGGTCACACTGATGTACTTGCCACACGCCCTAAGGGGGTGTTTGAAGTAGAGCATAAGGGCGGGTCCCAAGAATACGTCCCCCATTCGTTTTATACGGTCTAATTTGGTGCCTAAAGGTTGAAAGCGGTGAAATGCGAAAACCGGTTTCGACTGTGTTGCACCGTACACCACCGCGAATATTGTATGCGGGACGTACTCTTGGGACCCGGTTTCGGAATGTCGCAGAACCGAGACTTTCTAGTCCCTAACCGTTTGAAAAACAACAAATACCGTACTGTACCTTCCTGTGACATCCTGAGACGTTACACTTCGTTTTACTTCGGACAAAACCCTAACCGAGCCACCCAGTGAATTTCTTTTAGGTACAGCGCTGTATCATGCCACAACACCGGCAGTCCATTTGCTCTCTCCCCAACCCTGCCAAACCCAAACCAGCTGCTTCTCTCTCCCGCGCGCCTGCCTGCCTTCCCGCTTCGCCATTCCCTCGTCGTTTTTCCGCACAGTAGCGCACCCCCTCCCTCTGTAAAGTTCCCTTTCCCCACTTCTCCCCTTCCACCCAATCTCCCCCAAGTGTCCCTCTCCCCCATCCCATCCCCCTACTCTCTCTTCCCCGTCCCCTCCCCCGTCTCTCTCCCCTGTCCCTCCCTTCCTGCGTCCCATCCCATCCATCCCTGCTTCCCTCTCCCTGCTGTTCCCTGTCTCTCTCCTGACCCCCCCTGACCCACCCAACCCAGCCCAACCCTTGCCTCCCTTGACAGCCTCTCTGACCATCCCCTCGCGCTCCCCAACGGTCAGCTTGTCATGCATACCACTAACTCCCAGTAGGTTCCTAGGGTCCTGACAGGGGTCTCTAAACCCTCCCTGCGATCTTGCGAGGTCGGGTCTGTGATCCTCCAGAGTAGGTTAGTGGGACTGCTGCCGCGTGCGATCGCTTCCGGATCGGCTGTGGAGGTTTGCGAAGCTTCTGAAGGTGAAATCCCTTCGGATTTCGCAGTATTTTGGAAAGCGTCGCAGTTCAGTACACTCTCTTTGATCGCCGATAGGGAACAGTTTAATTCGTGGAAACAACTGCTGGCCGATCGGGAGATAGCGAAGATGGCGACAAGTCAAGTCTAAGTTCATCTCAACATTTGATCAATCGATGTCCGATGTACGTTTCTAACCTGTCCTTTGTCAGAGAATGATTATGTTTTTTCTGTATGGTTTCTTTTAATTTGTCCTATGGCTGTTCACATGGATTTCTGGCATTTTCGGCTGGTTTCTGTGTCCTTCACGAACCACCAGGAGTTGGGAATACAGTAGACTCGTTTCGTTCTGGGAAGTTTTGCCACGTTTTTGTTAACCCCTGTTCCTGTAGTGGAAGTTCTTTGTTGAGTTTTTGCCCTCTTCACGTGAGGGTTAGGCAGTGACGTTGAGAAGTCTCGTCAGGTCATTAGTTCACTAGCGTTCATACGTGCGATTTCTTATGCAGAGTCTGTTTCGACGGGTTTCGTTTCCCGCTAGTGGCGTCTGGGCCATTTTTGGGCTGAGCCTGAATCCGCATGTGTTCACTGTTCGCCATTGACATGTGCAGCAGCAGGGGATGGTGAGCGAGTCCCCCATTCGAAGAACAGCGTTTGCTGTCGTCATGGAAGCGGAGGCACCAGAGAAGCTGGTGGCACGGGTTGGACGGAGTCATCAAAGATATGCGGAAGGGGTTCGTCTTGTTGCTGGGTCAGCCCTTCCTCCTGTCTTCTACTCTTCCTGTCTTCATTGCTACTTGCCTGCTCAGCAACTCTAGCATCAGACGACCGTGCTCTAGTTTAGCAGATCGGATGTTCCTCTTGTTTTTAGTAACCTTCGATTTCCTTCATTTCGATTCTCTCAATATCCTCGCTTTCTTATCCCGCCGGTCCTGACTACCTCACACTTTTCTTGAACCGTTCGGCTAACGTAATTGTTGCTATTACGTGCAGGTGCATTCCCTTCCGCATTCTTAACGAGGATCAGGACGGCAGACAAACGACAGAGCTTCAAGTGCTAATGATCACATCACAACATGGCGAAGGCTTAATCTTTCCAAAGGTATGTGGAACTAATCTGCTGCTATGTGAACCCGTCTGGTGCGTGTTACCAGAAGATGCCTGAATTTACGGACTTGAGACATGCATTTACATACTAATGCGTTTTCCTCTTTCCACAGGGAGGCTGGGAGACGGATGAGACTGCTGAACAGGCTGCATGCCGAGAAGCTATGGAAGAAGCTGGGGTTCGAGGGATCATTCAGGTGGGGATGGAACTGCTTGATACCTTCTGCTCAATTTCCGCAACCGCTAGTCTAGCGACATCGGGACTCTGATATCGCGACGCAATCTGAGTCTAACTGTTCCTTTTTTCGTTGTCACTGCGTCCTTGGCTCTGCCGTTACGTCCTGCAGGGGAGAATAGGTTCGTGGATGTTCAAGAGCAAGCGATTACGCACAGCGGAGTGCAAAGACGGCGAGTGCTGTGCGCATATGTTCAGCCTTGCCGTGACCGAGCTGCTCGCCGTCTGGCCCGAAATGAGCCGCCGTAGCCGTCACTGGGTGCGTGGTGTGCGCTCGTTGCGAGCTTCATTTCCACCTTTCCTCTCACGTGTCCGCCTCTGCCCTTCTCCCGCCGTTTTCTTCTCCTCTCCCGCTCCTCACTAATCCTCCCTGCCGCTTTTCGTTATAGCCCTCTACTTGCAACTCAATATGCCCCTGGTTCTTTTCCTTTTGCGCTACCCCTTGCTGCTGCTATGCACTCATGATGGATGGGGTGGTTGGCCGTGTTGATGGGTGGGTGGATGGATTGTGGGTTTGATGGTCTCTCACTGCATGGTTTGTTCAGATGTCAATACCAGAGGCCATACAGCGGTGTAGGCATGACTGGATGAGGGACGCTCTAAGGCAGTGGTGTGACCAGCAGCAGCCAGTTTATAAGCTTCCCCCCGCCTGATTCTCCACATACCTCCCACAAACCTCTCATTTCCTCCTCCTTTCCCAGTCGCTCCTCTCACTTTCCCTTGTCCCTGATCATTCTTCCATTACTCCGCCATCTGCTCGCATATGGCTATGTATTACATCCTGCATAGTTGTGCCACCGCAGGGAATTCCCTTTCCCCCAGGTTGCCTTGCTGTCCCCTATTCTCGTCTGTCGCTCACCTTTCCCCCTGGTTTGATACCAGTACCATTTTACCTGGGTGGCAAGTTATTGCATGACCATCAATCTTTGTTTGCCTGCTCTATTGCTCGCACCCTGCTGATAGGAGGTGTGTAAAGCAAGCTCTTGTGCGGGCAGGAATGAGTTAGGGCGAAAGTGTAGAAGCTGCTATATGAGCCCTTCCTGTGCGCACCTGTATGTAGTACGGTATCCATTTCGGCAGTATTTTTAGGAATGTATTCAACACAGGGTAGCTATCACTGGAGTTCTTGGTGTCCAGTTTACATTAACGATTCAAACTTACTAACTACTATTTGGTTAAGACAGGGTAAATTTTGCTGGTCTACAGTTGCTTAATCTTAAAGCCGCGGTACACATTCACTTCAATTTGCAGGGAAAAACATTTGAAACAGTGGTAACTGAGTGATGCCTGCTGGAGGTGGCGAGGTCTCGCTACCTGCAGATAAACATGAGGGGGATTGTGGCATTTGTGTACTGAATCCCGATCGCCACCTGTAGACTCATCCCCCTTTCCTCTCGTTTTCCCCCACGTTTTCGATCGCCCCTTCCCCCAACAATCTCGATTCCCCACGGCCCCCCGATTTCGAAACTCCCCCCTGCCCCCTCAAATTCGATTCTCCCTGGCCCTCCAATTTCGGAACTCCCCCCTGCCACCTCAAATTCGATTCCCCTGGCCCCCCAATTTCGAAACTGCCCCCTGCCCCCCCCAAAATTCGATTCCCCCTGCCACTCCTCACTCGTCCAACTCCCCCCGTCAATTTCGTTTCCCCCTTCCCCTCGCTAGTCCAATTCCCCCCCAGTCAAGTTCGGTTCCCCCCATCCCTCGCAATTCCAAATTTCCCCCGTCAAGCTCGATTCCCCGCACCCCGCGAAATCCAATCCCCCAACACAAAACCATTTCCCCCAGTATCACAAGTCAAATTCTCCCTCTACGAAACTCAGCTCAATTCGCGTCAATATTTTCCTATCGCCTCTCGCCCTCCAATCACTTCCGTCCCCCTTTCTTGACCTCCACATTTCCATCCCGAGACGCGTTGAATGTGTACCGTGGCCATGTTGTGTGTAGCCATCTGGTTCAAGTTCTGGGTCGAAGGTCAAAGGCAAACCCCATGCTGATGTTGGCACATTGGCCGCGCCTGTTGTGCTGCACCACACACTTGTCACCGAAACTTCGGGGAGGCGGCTTTTGGCTGACGCACTGACACGTATGATCCTGTGCGGTCGACGTGTCATGCTAGACTCCACCATTTCTTCTGAAGGAGATTTATTGCCCCCGGTTACCCTGGGAGAAGTGGATGCTGCATCTTGAGAGTTCCTACCCCACCAGCACTTATGCTGTATATCCCTACCTACTTCAGCAGTACCTCAGTTCCAGCAACTGTATTGCCAGTTTCCCTTTCGTTTTCCGCAAACTTCCTGACCGAACTCCTTGGTGCTGTTTCACGAACCCCAATCATTCGCACATGCAGCGGCTCGGGTTGAGAAAGCTCAATTCGCAGCCGCACAATCGGCACGCCTCGCTCCAATTTGGTTGGGGGAATTGTGGCGATCAGGCGTTATCGCCGCCTCTGGGGAATGGCTGCATCGCTCTAGCTGTTTCCCCCCGACTGCTACAGGTTGCAGATATACTTCCTCATCACCACTCTCCACCATACCTAGTACATGAAAAACGCTCTGTAGCGGTTTATATCACCTTACCCGAACACAACCTTCACAACCCTCCCACTAGTGAGCCCAACCACCCACCAGGCCTACCCCACACGCTTCAAATCACGCTAAACCGTATTTGGCCACGCCAAATCGTACCAAACCGTCCATATAGCTACCCGTCCATTCTCTTTCCGGGCTAGAGCTGCAGCTGCGCTTGGCGCGCTTCTTGGTTGGAACTGGTTAGTAGGAAGGAGGTTAGTCAGTCTCAGGACAGGGGCGGAGAAATTTGAGATTCGGGCCAGGGAAGAGAAGGCTCGGGTCGCCTCGCCTCCCTCGTGCTTTCGGTCGCTCACTCGCTTTATCCTAGCAGCGCTGGTTGGTTGGTGGTACCATTCGCCTATCGTCTGTCCATTCTCCTTCACCTCCCAGGCTCCCACCCACCCCTCCTCTCTCATCCGCATCCACTCCGCCTCCGCCTCTGCCCAATTCCCGTCGCGCCGCCTTGCTTATCCTGCTTCCATTTAGCAGCAGTGATCCTGCTTCCGACAGGGGCAGTGATCCTCATCTCGCCTCCCCATTTGTTCACCAATCACCAGCATCGTCGCATCCTTCCCGACACATCGCATCGCATCGCATCGCTTCGCAGCGCGTCGCTCACACTCTCACTTCCTCCTTTCTCGTGGTCGATCGCGTCGCTTTTTTCCCATCAACATCTTCAACTTTCCACGTCAGCAGCAGTGGCTCGAACGCCGCGACGCGACCGTGTGATTGTGAAATCAGGCAAATTCGAGTCCCATCCTATCCTATCCGTCAGCTCTTATAACTCCTCCCTCTTTTCTTACTCATTTCGCACAATCCCGCTCTCTCTCCTCTCGCCTGTTCCTCGCCTGTTCCTCGCCTGTTCCTCGCCCGGTACTCACGCGACCGAACAATCTAGCCCATTTCGCCATTTGCACCATTCTAGGCGCCTCAATTCTAGTAGATGCCACTTGCGATCGTTCAGTAAGCGCCACCTTTCGCGTCGTCCTCCCTTATAGCGGAACCGTTAGTGGCATCAGTTTCGTTATAGCGCTCTCGAAGCTCCTCTCTTCTAGCAGGAATCAACTAGAGCAATTGACTAGTCTTGACTGGTCTTGACTAGTCAACCTCCTATTCATATACGAATCTTTTCATCGCCCTTAGCAGCGCGCTTGGTGTCACCCGTGCTAGCGCGCTTAGCACACGGACCCATGGCTGCTCGCGCCGCGTCTGTGGGTCCTCTAACAGCGGTCCGGCCGTCGCCGTCGCGCGCCGCTGCCGCCCCCTTCTCGTCTACTGGTTCACGAGTCGCTCCGCCGTTTGAGACGCCTCAAAAGCAGCCCGCGCCGTTTTTCCACTGCAGCGTCAACGCCCCTGCGCGCCTCTGCGCGCCGTGTTCCCCTCCTGGCGGAGCTTTCTCCGCGCGCATCACCCGCACCTGCGCGCGCCTTCGCCCCATCCCTGCAGCTGCGCCTTCCGTCGCATCCGGCCCCACTGCGCCGACTGCAACCATTGCCGCCGCCACCGCCGCCGCTTCCGCCACCTCCGCCGCCTCCGCCGCCGCCGGAACCGCCGCGGCGGCCATCGCGACTGCCGTGGCGGCTCTAGACCTGGAGGCGCAATCGACGCCGCAAAATGCGCCGCAAAAGGCGCCACAAATGGCGCCGCAAACTCCGCCTGCAACTGCGCGACTTACGATAACCGCGAGGAGCCAAGTGGGGGTGGACGAACCGCCGCTGCTGCTGCGCGCGCGGTTAACGGAGCGGCCTATACCGGGACAGGCGAGGTGGCAGCCGCCCCCGGGGCAGCCGACCCGTTGCTTCTTGCCACGCCCGCTGACGTACAGCTCTAACCTTGCTGACGTGGACCCCGATGAGGTGAGAGAAGGAGGGGGTTGGGGTGGGGGAGGGGAAGGGGGAGGGGAAGGGGGAGGGGGAAAGGGGGAGGGGGAAAGTGGGAGGGGGAAAGGGGGGTGAAAGGGAAATGGGAGAGGGGGGATCGGATGGTGGGGGAGAATGAGTGGGGGGGATAGGGTGATGGGGTGGTTGGGTGGGTGTGAGGTAGTGAATGACGCTGAGGCTCGGTACTCGTGAAATAGTAGTTGATGCGTGGTGGTGCTATAGCCGATGTTGCTCACTGAAGAGCATAAGCATGGAGAACGGCTTTAAGCATTGAGTGAGACATTCTAGAGCACGTGAGTGCACTGTTTGTTCAGATGAGGAATCTATTTTCGAGGCGCCTCAATAATAGCGCCTTGAGAGAAGAACGTGCTCTCAGATCTTAGTTTTGGCAACGTGAGAAGGCAATGTGAGCGCACCCTTGCAGACGAGCAACGCCCGGAATTGAAGAGGCAAGATTTGGCTCCCAAGCCAATGCCCCGGAATGACCCGATCCCATCCGATCCCTCCTTGCAGACAAAGTGTTGAGGAAAACAAAAAAAAAGACGAAGAAAAAAAAGAGCGTTCCAAACCACATGCGTTTGAAGTTTTTGAGGCGCCTCAAAAGCAGTTCCAAACCACATGCTTTTGATGTTCAATGTCCTATTTGTCCCCTCGCGCCTCGCCCTCTTCCTCCACATTGCAAGGCATAAACTTAATCTCTACTATTATGGCATTACATAGATAATATCATCCCCACCCATCACACCCTTTTTCACACACTTTTCTCCCCCCTCCGCTCCCCTCTCTATCTACTTACCCTTACCACCCATCGCCTTCCCTTTTCCCCATCCCCTGCCCCCTCCTCCCCGCCCCAATCAGGTGGCGCACGTGTGGCATCGGACGCTCAAGGTGGAGAGGGAGGCGAGCAAGGTCTTGAAGGCCATGCGCCACAGCTACTCGGTACGAGGTTTGAGAGAATTCTTATATCATGGGCATATTTATGCGTCGACTCGAGAATACATTACATACACCTGCTGCTGCTGCTGCTGCTGCTGCTACCGATTACATACACCAGCTGCGGCTCTGCTCCAGCACTATATCCCACCCAGTCTTTTGCCCGTCAGCCCTCTGCCGCCGCAGCACTAACCTTCCCTTGCCGCCTTTTGCCTTCTCCCCATTTCTCCCTCCCCCCATCCCCGTCCCTTTCCCCCCTCCCCCCTTTCCCCCGCCGAACTATCCCCCCCGTCAGATTGTGGTAGAGATGGACGAGTCTCAGCGCAGCCTCTCATGCTGCAGCACTAACCTTGTCGTGCTGCCTTTTGCCTTCTCCCCCTTCCCTCTCTTCCCTTCCCCCTCTCCCCTTCCCTCTCTCCCCTTCCCTCTCTCCCCTTCCCTCTCTCCCCTTCCCCCTCTCTCCCCTTCCCCCTCTTCCCTTCCCCCTCTCTCCCTTCCCCCCTTAAACTCTCTCTTTTTTTCCCCTGGCAGATCGTGGTGGTGATGGGCGAGGCTCAGCGCAGCCTCTCATGGGCGGGCAGTGCCCTCTGTTGCTCTCACATGGGCGGCCAGCCAGCCTCTCACACCCTCCTCTCTCACCCACTCCTCCCTCCCTCTCTCCACCCCCCTCCCCCCCCGGCAGATCGTGGTGGTGATGGACGAGTCTCAGCGCAGCCTCTCAGGCGAACGTGGCAAGACGATTGGTGAGCTGCGGGTGGTGTGCGGGTGTGAGGGTGTGTGGTGTGTGATATGTGTGTGGTGGATGGTGTGTTTGTGGTGTGTGCTCTTCTTTCTTGGCAACTCTCCGAAACGAGCCCTGAACCGCTCAGTCTACAGCTGTAGATCGGTGTCAAGAAACCACGCGCTTGCGGTGTCAGGAAGCAAGGCGCGCTTGTGGTGTCTAAACTAAACCATGTCTGGGTGAATGGGCGAAGGAAGTTTTCTACTTCTCCACCTCACATGGCCTCATCTGCCCATGCCCTCCCATCCATCATCCCACCACAATCCCACCATTTCCACCCCACCCTCCCAATGAACACCACTTGGGTGCCATAGGTCTCTCTCTACTCATTTCCCCCTCACCCTCCCTCTCCCTCCCTCCTCTACCCCCTCTTCCCCTCCCCTCCCACCCCGTTTCCTGTTGCCATGCCCCTTCCGCTTGCCTCAAACCTCTGCTCTATCGCTGTCTCTATCTCTCTATCCGTATGGCAGGAGTGGGCAGAGCAATTTCCGATGGGTCCTTCGTGGTGAGTCTGTATTGCTTGCAAGGCTGTATTGCACGGTCCGTCCGTGCGCGCTGCACCTGAAGAGTCTGTGCGTCGATTCAAAGTCCGTGCTGCAAGGGCCCCCCCCCTTCCCCACCCCCCCTCTCCCCCTCCGTCCCCTCCCCCTCCCCCTCCACCGCCCCCGGCCCCGGCCCCGGCCCCCCCATCGGTTCATTCACACTCCTGATTGCAGTGCAGGTTCTTCCTTACACAGTCTCACTCGCCGCACTCAGTCCCTCAAGCACTCCTCTCATTGTCTTGTCCTCTCAATCCCTCGCTCATTCCCTTGCTAGTTGCGTCCTTCCGACTCCCCCCTTGATCCTGCTTCGTCTTCATCCCCCCTCCTCCCACTCCTCCCACTCCTTGTTTCAGCACTACCCTCCCCTCTCACCACCAATTCCGCCCCACACCTTCTTTCAAAGCCGCTTCTCACCCTCCTAGCCCCGTCTCCCCTCCCTCCCATCTTCCACAGGCGACCATCTGTGACGTGGCCGTTCTTCCAGAGTATCAGCAGAAAGGGGTGGGCAGGCGAATCGTCAGGAAGCTCATTCAGGTGAAAGCACTGGGAGCTCTGCTGCTGCTGCTGCTGCTGTTGTTTTCCCCCTGTTGCTGTTTGCCTTGATCCTCGTTCCAGACCAAACCTCACAACACTCACACTCGCACTCACTCACTCACACTCACGCACTCTGCCCCATCCCATCCCATCCCATCTCACCAACCCAGGACATGCAACGGAGGGGTCCTAGTGGCTTTGCAGTCTTCCCCCCTCCCCTCGCGCGCCGCTTCTTCTGGATGATGGGCTTCAGGTGAGCGCTCTGATGGCTTCAGGTGAGCGCTCTGGTGGCTTCAGGTGAGCGCTCAGGTGCCATGCTGGGCTCCGCATTCTGACATTGTACTGCAAAATGAAAAAAAGGGGAACTTCTGTAACTTAACTGATTCGTTGTGGGCGTGAGTGCCCAGGTCAGTGTGTGCCTCTTCCCCTGTTCTTTCCCCTCTTCTGACACCCCACTCTTCCATGTACGAGCGCAAGTGCCTCGTGGGGTACCATGGGTAGCTGATAGAACGGAACTCACGCACGCCTGATACTGCCTCTGCCTCTGCTGCTGCTGCTGCTGCTGCTGCTGGTTGCACCTCTGCTGATGATGCTTTGTCTCGATGCTTTTCCCCTCATCCGATTCCCGAACCCCTCCCAGGTACGAGCGCAAGTACAGCCTGATGGCCTACCATGGCCAGCTCATGGAGCCCGTGCCCGATACTGCCTCTGCCTCCGCTGGCGCTGCTGCTGCTGCTGCTGCTGCGGCGGCGGCTGCTTCTGCGGCTGGCAATGCCGTTGCTGGTGTGTTGTCCTCTCTGGGTAGGATCGGAGGAGGGGGAGAGGAGACGCATGGGGGGGAAGAGGGGCAAGTGTAAGGGAAACCTAGGTGTGGTGTTGGTGGTATAGTGGGTTAGGGAGGGAAGCAGCAGCAGCAGTTGGTGGCGCTGGTGGTGGTGGTGGGTGTTGAGTGACCCGCTGGGGTTGCCCTTGAGATCCTCGGGGAAGGGCCACAGGTGCAGAGCCTGGGGGGCTATGGGCGCACTTACCCGCTATTCAACTAGCCCTTTTAACCCAGTGGTTAGTGGCTGGGTTTCTGACAGTGGGCCAGTGGAGTGAGAAATTGCGAGAGGGGACAGAAAAAGGTAGCTCTAAGTTATGGGAGGGGTGTGTGGTTCAGCATCACTTTGTGCATATGCAGAGTAATCAAGGGCAGATATTACGGCAGTAGGTGGGGTATGAAAGGTGTATAGTGGTGGTTACATATGGTAATGGTGACTTGACAATGTGGTTTGTGGTATCAAAGTTAACGAATGACTAGAACCATGGCATACCAGGGAATATAACCTAGTGGGTTGTACTCTCTAAGGCACAACCTTGTGTAGTCTATAACAACATACAAGGATATGTTTGACACACCCCCTAGATTGGATAGGGGCAGTGCCTGGTGAGAGACAAATAGCTCAAGGTGGCACTAGTCCAGCATCTGAGGCAAGGGTCTAAAGACCAGTCAAACGAGTACAAACAAGGCAAGAGCAAGACCAGAGCGGTGTTAGAATGAGAACTGAATGATTGAGTAGAGAGAGAGTACAGGTGAATATACCTAAGTGTTGTACCCTCTAAGAGGTGGCCCTATACAGTCTATGCAAACATAGGAGATACACATGTTTGACACACCCCCTAGACTGCATAGGGGCATGTCCTGAACAAGCAGCTCAGGGCGGCACTACTAGTCCAGCCTCTGAGACAAGGGTCTAAAAGACCAGTCAGAAGGAGTACAGACAAGGCAAGAACAAGGCCAGGGCGGCACTACTAGTCCAGCCACTGGGAGAGGACACAAGTCCAGTCTGAGTACACATATAAAGGACAGTACAAAGTCAAGGCCCTAGCAAGTGAGAGGCTACAGGAACTACACCAAGCTGTACACAGTGTCGCTGATCATCTTTAGGCGCAAGCGCCTTCGTAAAGATATCAGCTGTGTTGGCACCTGAGGCCAAGTGTACTACGCGAGCCTGGCGTCGCTGCTGTAGCTCGCGCAGGAGGAAGTACCGCAGCTGAATATGCTTCGCTCTGCCCTCGAGTCGAGGCTCCTGACACAGGAGGATCATGGCCCTGTTGTCAGCGAACAGGACCGGGGCAGAGCTAGGCCGCTCACCTAAGTCAGTGAGCAAGAAGGTCAGCCAGCGGAGCTCCTGTGCCGCCATGGCACCAGCGTAGATCTCAACCTCACAGCTGGACTGGGCAACAGACGAGGAGCGGGTAGCTCTCCACGAGACGGCACCTGAACCAAGGCTGAAGCGGTAGCCCTGGGTAGACCTGAGTGTCTCGGCGTCGTCTGACCACGAAGCGTCTGTGTGTCCAGTAAGGACCACTGGCCCACGTCCTCCTAGCACTAACCCCATGCCCGATGTACTTGCAAGATAACGCAAAACCCTCTTAGCGGCAGACCAGTGCTGCGGTCGGTGTCTGCCTGTGGCCACAAAGCGAGCCAGGATGCTGAGAGGGTATGCGAGATCTGGGCGAGTGCAAGTCATCAGGTACATGAGGCAACCCACCAGCTCTGCGTAGGGGCCACTGGGCTCTACCGACTCCTCAGAAACTGGAGCGGAGACTCTGTGGTCTACAAGCAGAGGGGTGGGCTGTGCAGAGGAGAACTGAAGGCTGAACCTCGGAAGGACCTGGCGCACCAAGTGTGACTGAGTCAGGGTGATGGTGCGCGATGCTCTGTCCCTGGAGATCTGCAAGCCAAGGTAACGGCGCAGTTCTCCAAGGTCAGTGCAAGTGTGTCTCTTCAGCAGCTCTGCCTTCACTGAGGCCAGTGCGTCCCTGTCTGCTGTGGCAAAGACCAGATCGTCGACGTAAACAAGGATGTAGAATGGAGTCTGGCCAGCACGAACGAAGAGTGAGGGGTCTGCGGAAGACGGAAAGAACTGCAGGTCAGCAAGGGTAGCACGTAGCGTGTCGTGCCACTCACGGGGAGCCTGTCGCAGGCCGTAGACGGGGCGCCACAGGAGCCACTGGGTCCCAGGAGGGAAGGTGCCAGTAAAGCCCTGAGGGCGACGCAAGTAGACCTGCTCGTGTAGGCTGCCCTGAAGGAAGGCAGTGGAGAAGTCGAGGGAGTGAAGCTCGTAGTCACGCTGAGCAACTAGGTGTAACAGAACCCGAAGAGTAGTCATCTTCGGGGTCGGAGCGAAGGTCTGGAAGAAATCCACCCCCTTACGCTAACTGAAGCCTCTAGCCACGTAGCGCGCCTTGAACACATGCGGCTCTCCAGGAGGGCGCTTCACCTTGAAGAGCCAGTGGCCATCGACTACGTTCACCCCAGGCGGGGGAACTGCGTCGACGAAGGTGCCGGTGGATCTCCAAGATGCCATCTCCTGCTCCATGGCAGCTATCCACTGCGAGGCCCAAGGTCCCGAGGTCGCCTCAACGTAAGTGCGAGAGATCGGGATGTCGAAAGCGTCTGGGTCACCCTCAGGGACTAGCAGCATGGAACAGAGATGGGGAGCAGCCTCGGAGAGGAAAGCAAGCTCGAACTGGCGGTCCCCCAGGACGTCACTGCCGAGGGTAGGAGCACCCCCGACAGACGGAGGACAGGCAGGGTCAGAGCCCAGAGCGGTTGCGTAGTCAAGGCGGCGGGTAGAGGCGAAGTCAGCGACCGCAGCTACAAGAGCGTCAAGGCACGAGACCGGAACAGACGGGTCGGTAACGAGAGAGGCAAGGACCCGAGGAACAAGAGGACGAGTGGTACGAAGGTAGTCAGACAGCGGGGGGGGTGCAACAACAAGGGAGGACGGAGGAGGCGACGGCAGAAAGGGAGGACGAGACGCGTGGGAACGAAGCAACATAGGGTGGGAGCGCAAGACAGGCGAAGCAGGACGAGCACGGGAGGGACGGTGAGACCAGACGTGAGACGGAGGAGTCGGGTCAGGAGACAGGGGAGGGGACACAGGAAGGGAACGAGGGGGAAGACGAGCCAGGGACGAGTCCGGCGGAGGGAACACAGGGCCGTAGAGGGGAAGAGGAGGAGACGGTCGGAGAGGAACAGACGCAGGGTCAGGGGACGGAAGGCCGAGCAGGCGAAGGGCTGACACCGGCGGGGACTGCTGCTGCGGCGGCACAACACCGACACCTGGACCGCAAGCTGCTCCTCGGCTACCACCGGCACACTCCACACCAGCACCCCCAGAGGGAACACCTCGAGGGCCCGAAACCCCTCGAGGACCGGTACCACCCCCAGGGCTACCGGGACTAGCACACACTCCATGACCAAACCGATGCGTCGCTCAGCAACCCCATTCTGCTGTGGGGAGTCCGGTAGGGTGAACGTCTGGGTGATGCCCTCCGCACGACAAAAGCGACCAAGGACACCTGAGGCAAACTCGCCACCACGGTCGGAGTGAAGCCGCAAGACAGGGAGACCTCGGTGGACACGGGCAGAGACAAGCCAGGGGATGAGAGCGGCATGCACGTCGGCCTTCCGCTCCAGGGGAAAGACCGAGGTGTAGCGAGTGAAGTCGTCGACAAGCACAACGAAGTAGCGCTCTCGACGCGGCCCATGGACGGGGGCGGGGCCCCAGACGTCCATGTGCAGGGTCTGCAGCGACGCGGCGGTAGGGGGAAACGAGGAGGAGTGAGGGGCACGGTGAAGCCGACCCTCGACGCAAGGCGTGCAAGGTGGGGCTGGGGAGGAGGGAAAAGCGGGGAGAGAACCAGAGAGACCAAGGACGAGACCGTGCTGGGACATGTGACACAGACGCGGGAGCGCAGGGTGACCTAGGCGGTGGTGCCAAAGGAGAGTTGGGTGAGTGAGGGACCGACAGGAGCAGGCAGCAGCAACCTGGGTAGACGCAGCCACCTGAGGGGGCGCCCCAGCCGGGGGGGTCACGGTGTCCAGAGTGAACAGGCCGGACACCGGGTCCCGGGGGAACGTGGACAGGGGGGCACCCGTGGCGGCCTCGGTACAGACAGCATACCGCTCGTGACCAGGGAACGTAGTGGTGACGCCAAGGTCCTGGAGGCAGCCGACACCAACTAGGTTCCTGGAGAACGAGGGGATATGCAGACCTGTGAGAGTGCCCGAAGGAACCGCCGGACAGGGAAGGGTGGTGGAACTGCGGGCGACTACCGGACCGCCGGAGGGGTCAGCAAGAGAAACGGCAGCAGGAACAGGAAGCGGCGTCAGTGTAGTAGAGTCGCGGAAGAAGCACCGGGAAGCGCCAGAGTCCAAGGTGAAGGAAAGCGAAGCAGAGGCGTCTGGGGACGGGGCGACGGTGGAAGCACCAAGGCTAAACAAAGCAGGGGATCCTACGCCTGACGCAGCAGGGGAGGCTAAGCTAGGCACACCTACACTAGACGACAGTGAGTAATAAAGCGGGAAGCACACTAGAGTCATCAGCATACATCACATGCAGAGCAGAAACAATGGCATCCATGTCCATGTCAAAAATCTGAATCCTACAACTAAGCAAATTGTGCCAGTCCGGGAGATCTGGCGACGGGCCGAAGCGCTGACGAAACAGGTCGTCCAGGCGACGAAAACATCGGGGAGTAGTATGACCGAGCTTACCGCAAACGAAGCCGCGGCGAGGACCGGTCTGGATCTGGTACTGACAACGCACGCCTCCCGAACCACCACTCGGCACACCACCACGCGCCCGACCACCTCCAGCGCCAGGCTACCCAGGCGGGAGGACACTCGCCTGCCTCGTCTGCGGCGGCTGCTGCGGAGGCTGCGACTGCTGCGGCTGCTGCTGCTGCTGCTGCTGCTGCTGCGACTGCGGAGGAGGCGGCTCAGCTGGACTGGGCAGGGTCCCCTCGTCCGCTCCAGCACCAGACGACCCGACTCCACCACCAACCCCTCCTGCACCCCCGCCTCCTCCGTCGCGCCCAGCCTTGGGGCGGCGGCCCTTCCCCGAACGAAACTGCGCAGCAGCAGCAGTCTCAGCCAGAGCGACAGAACCGTCGGAGAAGGTACTCTGAGCGGGGGCACAACCCTGAAAGGTAAGGACCGGCACGGTACCGCTCGCCTGGGCGATGGAGCGGTGGCGGGTCTCAATAACAGCTAGGGTGTCTACAAAGTCGGTGAGGGTGAGCTCACCGGGGTGAATGCTAAGGAAGCGGTCGCGGGCGGCGGCAAGGCGGTCAGGGAGGCGGGTGGCAAGCAGGTAGAGGGTAGAGGTAATGGGCGGCTGGTGGGCTCTAAGCTGTGCGTCAGTGCAGGCAGCGCGCCAGGTCTCATCTATCGAGCGCAGGTGGGCAGCTAGGTCAGAGATAGTGGGGAAAGACGCAAGGTCGGGAAAGAGCATCGGGAGGATCAGGCGACCCACCGAGGCAGCAGGAGGGGTGGAATAGCGCTTGATGACAGCATCTAAGTAAGCCTGGGCGGTAGTGATGGACCTAAAGCGAGGGCGCTCGGACGGGGGAAGGGCATTGCTAATGGCAAGCTGAGCGACAGCGTCTGAAGAAAGCCAGACAGAGCGCGCAAGGGCAGTGGCTGCAGTAGACTCGCGCTCAGCGGGTGTGGGGTCAGCGGGCAGAACAGCAGGGGGGTCTGGGCAGGGGAGCGTACCGTCAAGGTGTGCGGAAAGTGGGTGGCCATCCTGCCGATGGCCAGTGAGGTGGCGACGGAG